TGTAACCCTGCGTGAGTTCGTCTGATCCCTCTCCAGAGAAGATCACCACACTATCTGTGTTCTTCCGAATATACTTGGAAATTAAATACATACCTTAAATAAGAGAGAGAAATTAACTTTAATGTCAACATAACCTTCCACCAAGAATGCCTTTGATTTTTGGAAATAATTGAAAGCTTTACTACTATACTGGACTTCAAATTAATATAAAATAGTTTCCACAATAATGACCTTATATTTATAAGCCATTTACATGTACTTAATCCAAAAGTACTACTGTAAAATAAAATAACCCAGAACCATTCTGTCATTTTATAAACAGGTTTCAAAATTCTAATGTTCCAATGTTTTTAGACCAAGAAAGTCCATCTTAAAACTTTGCTACACTGAACAATGACTCAAATATCTAAAAATCATGCCTTTCATAGTGGTATAACACCACAAAAATAAGAGGACGTGTTTGGGTGGTTTAATGTCAGTTTTCCCCCTGCCACTCTCCATTTACCAGATTTTTCATAAAGACAGGAAGACTAACAAGTTATGAAACCTGCCTTCCTGGTTCTGTACCACATCCCTCTAAACCAGTGTTTCTTCTCAACCTTGTTTTTACTATCACCTCAGCTAGAGAGCCTTTTCAGACATTTATTTTCCTAACCCCAGCCCCTTGAAATTCCAGTACCAGAGCTATCCTATTTATTGTGATGCTTTGATGGGCCATAAACCATTGTAATATCTAAGATATTTTTGCCCTCCAAGGCAACTCTCTCAAGAGAAACAGTAGCATATAAAGGCTCAGTAACACTGGATCCATCTGATTTGGTGTATGCGTCCAATCTCAGTGGATATATTATCTACAAGATAAAATTAGCATTGTTTGCAAAGCAATGATAGCTATTGACTGGTAAGTTCTATGATGGAATATTTCCAAAAATATATCTAAAATGAGTATTTCTTATCAAAAACACATTACCAAATAGACCTATTTCTTCATTGTATACAGACTGTAGCCCAAGAAACTATAAGAGAAATGGGAGGTAGAGGGAAGAAAATATGTATCTGCTCCCTGGGAAAACACCAACAGTCCAACAGTGATACCAAAAATGTAGAGGTTGAACTATGTATTTATGGTGCCCTTCACTCCAAAAGAGATTCAGAGAATTCTTAAGTGGTCTTAAATAATTAGTAACATAGGTATTTAATTTGCAGTCATCCTTAAATAATATTATTTCTTTCTTTATTTTTTTTTTTTGGAGACTCTGTCGCCAGGCTGGAGTGCAGTGGCTCAGTCTCAGCTCACTGCACCTCTGACTCTTTGGTTCAAACGATTCTCCTGCCTCAGCCTCCTGAGTAGCTGGGACTATAGGTGTGCACCACTATGCCCAGCTTGTCTTTGTATTTTTAGTAGAGACAGGGTTTCACCATGTTAGCCAGGATGGTCTGGATCTCTTGACCTCATGATCAGCTCACCTCAGCCTCCCAAAGTGCTGGGATTACAGGTATGAGCCACCGTGCCCAGCCCTTAAACAACATTTTTTAACTATTGCTTGAAATAATTTTTGTTACACCTTACATTTTTTTCAGTATTTAAAAAAATCTGTTTATTTAATAATATAGTAATACCTCACCTACTGACGCACGAACTGTTGTAATATCGTAAGTTTCCAAGGAAAATATGACTTCATCCAGAGCCTGAATGCCTTCCTCTGAGTTGAAGAGGACTTCATGATGCTCACTTCCAATATGATTTGCTACCTTATTATATGAAGAAATACCCCTTTATTTGTTAAAGAAAATAACTTCCCTTGAAAATCAAACATGACGCGAGTTCACAAAGCTTTATGAATTAACAACGGTGAAAACTAAACAAGGGAAAACAGAAAACATGATTTTACAGGCCACCACATACAAGCCCCATCCAGCCCTGTTCCCTCACCTGCTTCAAATCCACCACCAGGAAGTATGTCTCCCCTCAGCTCCTCCGGTGCCAAGGCTTCAACCATTCTCTCAGTCGGCACCTCCCTCCTCACCCATTTTACCTAACCCACCTCATTTCTCCCTAGTCCAATAGGGTCCCATGCTAAGCTTGGTCTTTTTTGGTCCTTCTGAAATGCCTAATTTTATAACCTAGATGTTATTACTATATAGAATGGCACCTCCCCTCATTCTACTTTTCTTGGCTATTTTGGATTCTCTCAGCATTGATCACTTTGTATTGAGACTGCTCTCTAGCTCTTCCTCATCCTTGTTACAAAAGTTCTCCAGAGTGGGAACTAGGTCTCCTGCTCACTGAATACAGACAAGCTGCCCTCTGTCCACAGTATTCTAAATATAGCACTTTTTAAAATAATAACAGCTAACACTCACTAAGTACTTACTATATACTAAGTTCTACCCTACTTACTTCACATGAATTATATCATTTCACCTTAAAACTACCCCATAGCAGACACTATTATTTTTGTTACATAAACAAGTAGAGCCAGGATGTCAAGCCACAAGTCAGACTCCAAAGCCTGCAGTCTTTGCCATGATACCATGCCTTTACGTTCTTTTTTAAAAAACAAAACAAACAAAAAAACGAACAAACAAAAGCCTCTCTTTTGAATTTTTCAAGATGGGGTCTTGCTATGTCGCCCAGCCTGGACTTGAACACCTGAGCTCAGACCTCCCACCAGTCTCGCAAGTATCTGGGACTATAAGTGTGTGCCACTGCACCTGACTTATGCCTTTACTTCCTTCCCTTTTTTTTTTTGAGACAAGGTCTCACTCTATCACCCAGGTTCCCATAAGGCTAACATCACAGGCATGCGCCATCAAGCCTCGCTAATTTTTATATTTTTTTCTGTAGAGATGGGAGTTTGACTATGTTGCTCAGGCTGGTTTCAAACTCTTGACCTCAAGTAATCCACTCCCTCAGCCTCCTAAAGTGCTGGGATTACAGGTGTAGGCCACTGCACCCGACACCTTTACTTTCAAAAGAGCATAATTATCATCACAGTGTCTTTGTGAGAACTGTACAGGTCATAACAGATAAAAGTACAGAGGACAGTGTACAATACAGTGCATATTCAACAGCGATTTCATTCTACTTTAACACATTTGAAACAATTTCCCCAGTCAATACAGCAGCATAAGTGGAATTATCCATTATTGACTCCATTTTCACTCTAATAACAAGTCTACTCTAGCTATACAAGGGGCAGAGACAGCACCTTACCTTTCTAGCTGCCAGTAAATCGGGGCTGTCTTCCATGCCAATTGCAAATGTCTGGAGGGGATACTGTACTTGGTCCTCTTTCATCTGCTTCAACAGGGTGGCAGCAACCAAGCTGGAGTCCAGGCCCCCTACATGCAAAAGAGAAAGTGGAAGTGTCCTAGTTATGTGCCTTGCATAAGACAGGGACAGAGGATGTATATTCCTGATAAACACGAAGATCACAGTTTTACCATTTAAAATCCTCAAGTTTTATAAACTGAAATCAACTTCGACAAGATAAAAATACATATACTGTGATAATATTAGTATTTGGTTAAAAATCACTACACAGAATTCTAAAGAACTGGCTCACTCTTTACACCAATAACATAGCTACAGTGTCACTCAAGTTGAAGTGTTACTGTGAGTATTAAATGTAGCTTATACAAAATGGTTTCCATCCTATAATGAAGGAAAGATTAAATCATATAGTAAATATTTTATAGTGAAAACCAAAGGGATGGCTACAAATCATCTCAATTAAACAGACATGAAATATAATTAGGGTTTTTTTTTAATTGACTTCACCTGATAAAAGGCAGCCAATCCTCCGGTCTGTCATCAAACGCTTCTTTACAGCATTATTAAAAAGGATCCGGATGTTGTTCTTCACTGTTTCTATCTCAAAACCTATAAACACAGCAAGTAAATCAAACGGCTCCAGAAAATCTTGGGCTGGATAAGTTATTGAAATGAAATACATAATCATCAACATCTATCATGATGGCATTTACTCAATGGTGGAGTCTGCCAAATCTTAACGTGTTCCCTCCAAACAAAACAGGAAGTAGGTCTTGATACTAAAATCATTCAAATGATGTAAGAGTACAACTTATAATTTTTTCCCTTGGAGAAGGATGGGGAATAGGTGGGTGGGTGTCCACTACCTGGAAAGAGTTTCTCCACATTGTCATAGAGGGCGTGCAGGGGTTCATCCCGATAGTGATGATATTTGACCATTTCCACAGACGCAACTTTGCCATTTGGCTTTAAATCCAAAACTTCATAGTGTCCAGGAAGAAAAGGCTCCACTTTTAAAAAGGGAGTTGA